TGCGAGCTAAAATTAATTTACGTACAATTCATGACAAATTCATTATTATTCGATGATTACAGAGATAAATTTCATTGAGAAAGATTAACGATTTAATCCTTTAATTTGATGGACTTTGGAATTATTTCAGTTATTATTTTATTATTATTAAAATTTTTTATATTAAAATATTTTTTTTTTGTTAATTATTTTTACTTAAAGAGAGCGTAAGTATTTCTTTTTTCTTTTTTTTTGTTTTTTTTTTTTTTTTTAAGAATTTATAGTAACTTTGATATTATTGATATTTATCCTAATTCATTTCTTCAATTCGTCATTAACATAAGATTTATGGAACCCGACGAATTTTTCATTAGAGTTCTGTACACCTTGATAAATTATCTTAGCTTAAAATTACAACAATCATAAATATTGATTTTCGACAATTCATATTGACTTTAATTGACATAATACGCATATCTATTTTAATTTTCTTAATACACGGTTGACGGTTAAATTAAAAGGGAAAAAAAAAACTAATCAAAATGAAATAGATCAAAGGAATTATCTTCTAAATGATAATTCGAATATGTATGACTTAAAGAAACGAATTTAAATTTTGCTCTAACATTACTCTCACGGATTTTAAACATTGTTTCTTCATTATCCTTGTTTTTTTTTCCTTTCATTTTTTTTTCTCAGCTCTCCTCTTTTCTGTCCCTTGAGATATCTCTCCTTTACGAGATAATAGTTCGCACGTAAATCTCTTCGCCATTTTTCGCTATCGATAGCTTATTAATTAGTGAAGTTTCTGTGGTTTTGCTTTTGGTGTCGCTGACAAGAGAAGCAGAAACCGATGGAAGTGCTTTTCTATGTCGGGATAGTGAAATCCGTTTATGTTTCTGACTATTTCTCTCTCTCTTTCTCTCTCTTTCTCTCTCTCTCTCTCTCTCTCTCTCTCGCGCGAACATTGACGAGGAGAAGTACGAGCAGTCGTGAGAAAAATAAAGATAAAAGATATAAAAAATTTAAAAGACATCGTCCAACGATAGAATAGGAGAAAAAGAAATTTATCACTGATATGAACAATAGAAATGTACCGTATTTGCTTTTTAAAAGAGAAGTAAATTAAATCGATGTACGATACGATCGTTTTCATTTTTTTTCATGTATCATAAAAAGGTATACATATATATATGTTATATGTATACCTGTATATACGTATCAAGATCGATGGTTATTGAAACGACGTCGAATCATACACATGAAATTCATTTTTATTAACAAGCTATATAAAAACAATAAAGCTTTTTCCAATTTCGCAATTAGTAATTAGATTTGTCGATCATACTGAAGAAGTAACAAATTTACTCTCAATAAATATAATATTACAAAATATTTATTTCTATTACGAATGAATTAAAAAAGAAGAAGAGGAAGAGGAAGAAGAAAAAGAAGAAGAAGAAGAAGAAGAAGAAGAAGAAAAAGATGAGGAAGAAGAAGAAGAAGAAGAAGAAGAAGAAGAAGAAGAAATAAAACGAAACTGGAAACGTAGCCAAAGATTATTTTTCCGTGGGAAAGAAAACGAAGGAAAATGTAAGCCTAGTCTTCTGTTATATAGTCTCTCTAACGTTTTGTCTTCGAAGAAATGATAGAAAATTTCTTACAATTCATAGTAAGATCGTTGTATTTTTCTAACCTGATTAGTTCCCTTTTTCTTGTAAATAGATAATCACATATATCTATACATTCATAAACGCTCGGGCATACTCATATACGCAGACACATGCATATATATAAGAAAATAACTAGTATTTAAGTATAATAATTAATGAGAGAAAGAGAGAGAGATAGAGAGAGAGAGAGATAGATAGATAGTCAGATAGATAGAGAGAGAGAGAGAGAGAGAGAGTAGAAATGGAACTGTGAGTTGTACTGTGTGTCTGTATATTCAATGTAAATATGTCTTTAAATCGACGAAATTGTATTGTGCGAATAAGATAGCGTGCGAGAGATCAAAAGTAAAAAGAGAAAGGGAAAGAAGGAAAGAGTGGGTGAAATGAAAAAGAAAAAAAAAAATAAATAAATAAATAAATAAAAGACAAAAAAATGAAGTATACAATTAATGAAAAGTAACGAGGGTATTTCTGACGATTCTCTTTTAAGCCCGGAAATCACGGAAATTCCCTAGATCGATACGATGATCGTACTTAATCGATGAAATAGATTTAAGGCGACTCAACGTTGCACATCGAGAAAGAATGAGTGACAAAGAGAGAGAGAGAGAGAGAGAGAGAGAGAGAGAGAGAGAGAGAGAGAGAGAGAGAGAGAGAGAGAGAGAGAGAGAGAGAGAGATAAAGAATATGTATGTATGTATGTATTTATGTTCGTATATGTGTGTGTGTGTGTGTATGTGTGAGAGAGAGAAAGAGAAAAAGAAAGAGAGAAAGAGAAAATGTATGATTAAAATGTATCAGCGAAATTGAATGATGCAAAAAGTTTTCCAATGAATTTCTTAATTAATATTATCTAACAATGGTCTATACAGGGCATAGATTATAAGTGGGACAATTTATGATTTTTGCTGAAATAAAAATCAGAAGGTATAATAAAAAGGTATTTAAAATATTAAAGCTCTGTGTGTGTTTGTTTGTTTGTGTGTGTATGTGTGTATGTGTGTGTCTGTGTGTGTATCGAAGGCAATAGGTATGATTACTCGTGCAACTCGAAATAAGCGCAATTATAGACATATTATCGAAAAAAAAAAAAGAAGAAGAAGAAAGAAAGAAAGAAAGAAAGAAAGAAAGAAAGAAAGAAAGAAGATAAACATAAGTACATATAGACGATCGTGAAAAAAGTTACATGAACTTGTAAGTAATTACATACATGCATACATACATAAATACATGCGTACATACATACATAGATACATACATGGAAAAACAAAATACCTATACTCAAGGACACGCGCTAAGAGGAGGCACTTGTTAAAAAGTAAATAAATTGAAGTATAAATGAAAAATGACGTAAGAGAAAAATTTTATATACATAATGTGTATATATATATATATATATATATATATATATATATATATATATATTTCTATGTTTATATATATATATGTATATGTATATGTATGTGTAAGAATATCACTTTCAGTACCTAAATAATGCTATCCGATATCCCAAATAGCCTTTAACTTAAAACGGTAAGTATAAGTTTCCTTGCTCGTAATTCGAGTAACATTTATTTTATCACATTTGATCTTTTCGTGCTACTATCGATAAATCGATATCGTTTAAATATTTTCTATGATTATTCGTGATAAAGTACGATCTTTTCCAATATAGTTCTATATTCCGAAGTTCTTCCTACGTATTCTAATGCGGGATAAGAAGAGAGACAAGTAGATACGAAAATGGGAAAGAACTTGTTTACTTTCTTGCTTTTCTTTTTTCTATGATTCATTCATAGGAAGAAAGAAAAAACCTCTTATCGACCAACCCCTGCCCCTGCCCCTCTTTTCTCTCGTACCCTCGCTCCCACACATACTTTTTACAGCTATACGAGATAACTTTATCTCGTCTTCTTCATTTTGGAAAAAAAAAGACAATAGTTCCAAGTTCGCGTCAACGATTTTCTTTCGAAAAACTAATGCATTCGTTTGTTCTTGTTCGATGTAACTTTTGACAACAGTTTTTGTTGATTCGACTTTAAATGAAATATCTTCGTTTCTCTTTTTCTTTTTTTTTTCTTTTTTTTTTGTCTTTATCACACCTTTCTGTCATTTTCATTCGTACTTCTCTCTCTCTCTTTCTCTCATAATTTTTTCTCTTTATCTTTATTCTACATACGTTATATACAGGATGTATCGAAAATTCTTAATTGATTTAAAAAGGTCAATTTTTATTTCTAATTTTGTTTTTTCTTTTTTTTTCTATTCTTGGAAAGAGGGAGGACAAAAGAATTTATTAGAATAACTATTTTCTCTTAAATTGCGTAAATGAAATAAAGTTTCGAAACTTGTAGATGTGAGAACCGACAAAAGAGATTAATCGATGATGGTTGTATAAAAAAAAAAAGGGTAATTTTATTTTTAAAATTATTTTACTATAAGAACTTTCGACGAATTTTATACAAATGGTGGGTATTAAAGAATCGTGAATTTTTTCCTTAAAAGAAAAGAATTTATCTTCTGTTAAAAATATGCCGAAAGAATAACGAAGAAACTTCAAATATTACTTTACTACAGCACGATTGGAAAATATATTGAAAATAGTTATGAGAGGATCTTAAAAAGAATTATATCAATTTGTTTTCAAAGTATTACGAAGAAAATACATACATGCGCATGTTATATTTAACACATAAATTTTTGTGGCTAACGTAGAAAGAGAGAAAGAGAGAGAGAGAGAGAGAGAGAGAGAGAGAGAAAGTGAGAGAAAAGAAAAAAAATAAGAGGAAAAAAAAGGAAAAAATTAACAAAAGAGCATCCCTACAGACCGCTATTATTTTCCTTGGAACGTAATTAAGTGCTTGATTTCACCAGACGTTTCCCGGTTATTGGAGTTGTCTGCAAGAAACTGCTACGCTTCTTCAACCATATAATTGATGTTTTCAAGCAGGAAAAAGAGAGAAGTATCTCTTTTCCTGTTGAACCATTAAAAAAAAAAAAAAGAAAAGAAAAAAAAAGAAGAAATAAAAGTAAGAACGAAAGCAAATGTAAAAAAAAGAAGACTCGAGGTGTTCCATCGTCGCGAAAAAAAAAACTTAACTTGAAGAGGAAATAAAAAAAAGAAAAAAGAAGAAAAAAAGAAGGAAATAAACGTGTGATTTTTTTACTGCAAAACTTTTATTACTTATCTGGCACGATACACATCTTAAATAATCTAATAACAATAATAACAATAATAATAATAATAATAATAATAATAATAATAATAATAATAATAATAATAATAATAATATACTTAATATTTGACTTATGACATAATAGCCTCTTATAACGAATTAACGTGTGGGAATATGCAATGGAAAGATGGATAGGAGAAGGAAACCCTATGGAATATAATGATGGCGCGTAGTCCAAGTCCTTGGGAGCTTTCCAAGTTCTTGGGAAAGAGGGTTGTCCTTTGGCAGTTTCATCCGGGGATTGGGGTCACAAGTGAACTACGACTGGAAGTGAACCCGAACTAAAGTATACATCTCTTTTCTCGATGGTATGGATTTTCTTTTTTTTTTTTTTTTAAAGATGCAATCTTATGCAACGTGATATCGACAGAAAACTACCAGAAACTTTGTCCGAATCCAATCTGAAAGAAAATCATTCGCGTTAATTAAATTGAAATATTTCATTAGCCTTAATTCGCGATTAAGAAATTAAATGATAATTTTTATTAAGTGATGTTCTTTTTTTCGTGAAACGAGAAAAAAAAAAAGAAAAAAGAAATGAAATGTGGCGGAAAGAAAATGTAAAAAGAAGAAGAAGAAGAAGAAGAAGAAGAAGAAGAAGAAGAATTGAAATTGAAGAAATTGAAATTGAAGAAAACTTCTCTCTCTCTCTCTCTCTTTTTCTCTCTCTGTCTCTCTTTCTCTCTTTCTCTCTCTCTCTCTCTTTTTCTCTCTCTGTCTCTCTTTCTCTCTCTCTCTCTCTCTCTCTCTTTTACTTGGATTTTATCTGTGAGCATTACCACGCCACCTTTAAGACTTACGACTGTACTCAATTTTCTCAATTGATGTCGCGCACTCGGCTCTTAACGTAATCCTTCGCAATTAATGGGAACTGTAAAACGGGGGGGGAGGGAGGGAGAAAGGGGGAAATAATCGCGAATATCGTAGGAAGGAAGGATTTTACGGATTCTTCATTGGTTTTTGTCTCTCGCAAATTCGAGACGAGAGGAATCGATGAGAATAAGAAAGTAGAAAAAGGGTCAAAAGGGAAAAAAAGATAAGAACGAAGGAAGAGAGGTATGTATGCCTATGTATACATCTATATATAATTCTGTATATATATATATATATATGTAGTCTGGATATTCGTACATTGCTTTACCTTTCTCCTACTCCAAAGTTTTATTTCCTTTTCGGTGGAAGGAACACCTGCGACTCTGCCTTTCGAACAAAAAAAAAAAAAAAGAAAAAAGAAAAGGAACAATGTCATCGAGTCGTCCTTTGAGTAAATTTTTCAGAAATTTATAGTCCAACAAGAAATTCAAGAATATCTTTTTCCAAACCATCCCCGCCATTTCTTTTCTTGCCAACCTCCCATTTGTATCATCAACCTTGCCCTATACCGTCATGCATCCCCCACTCCAATTTCGTTCGAACGGAATAAGAAAAGGAAGAGAAAAAGAAGAAAAGAAAAAGAAGGGTAAAAAAGAAAAAGAGGCGATCATCCGAAATGACGATTCGATCGAGGAATAATTTTAAATGAAAGAAAATATTTTCTCTCTCTTGCTCTCTCTCTCTCTCTCTCTCTCTCGCGATTGCAATTTCGATGAATGAATTTTGTATGGACGGAAAGGAAAAAAAAAAAAAAGAAGAAGTAGAAGAAGAAGAAGAAAAAAAGAACCATTTCAAACGTAAAATTCTAGTTACACGAGTAACTAGTTGGAATTTTCATGGAAGAACGTTGAACCATCCTTGACGCGAGTATTTTGCTCTTTAACGTTACTCCGTTAATGAGATCTTGTTACCCGTAGAGTCTACTTTGCTAAATCGTTTAAAGCTTCGATCCTCCTAAAATTTGTTTTTCTTCATCTTCTTCTTCTTCTTCTTCTTCTTCTTCTTCTTCTTTTCCTTTTTTATCAAGACCAAAGGGAAAAAATCGAGAAACGTTTGATGGGATACCAGACGTTTCTAAACCTTCGACAGAGATATAAAAAATATCGAAGAGTTATGTTCAATTTATCGCACATTTTTTAATGAATACCGATATCAACGAAATTCAGACAGGATATTGTATTCTTTTTGTCGTTATTATCCAACGTTAATTATGGATTAAAAACGTTAGTTAGATATCGACGAAATCACGGATTCCAAAAGTTTATGAATCAAGCTGTGGTTTAAAGGGAATATCTTTCTCGATAACTTTATTATCCTTTACAACGATAGAAAGGAAAATGTGAGAAAAAAAAAGGGGATCGAACATCCGCAAGGAAGATTTCGAATAGTAATGAAAGAACTCTTCCGTGGGAAAAATGGAATATTTGAAAAAGTTCGATAGAAGAGTATCTATGCCTTTTTACTGAAGTTGAAACTTCAATGCGACTTTTGGAAAACAGACGGATTCTCTGCTTAGCTAAAGGAAAACTTTAGCTTGGAGAAAATTATTCAGTGTGTTCAGAAGTACGCCGTTCACTTTTCGTATATATGTACGTGAATAATACATGATTGTCACAACGTTATACGTGTCTTATCGTTCACGTAAATTTCACGATATCGCTTTACCTTACGCCCGTTATTTTAGAGTATGACAAACGAAAAAGAAAGGAGATAAAAGATATATATATATACATATATATATATATATCTTTTAGAAAGATTTCACGAGCTTAAAAAATCCTCACGAAAAAAGTACAAAAAATCTCTATAAGATACGCCACGTAACTACAAGATACTGGTTTGCAATTTATGCGGGTACATTCAATGAATTTCTTCTTCAATGTCACTTAAAAAAAAAAAAAAAAAAAAAAATAAAAAAATAAAAAAAAAAAAAAGAGAGAAAGAAAAACAAAAAGAAAAAGAGGGAGAGAGAGAGAGAGAAGATTAAATTTTTATAGAACACGTTTTTGATCTCGGTTACTATAAAAAGATAAAAATAACACGAGAGAAAAAGGAAAAGAATTTTCGTTAATATTATCTAATCGTATAGAATTATTATCATTATTATTAATATTATCCTGTAAATATCTAATGATAGCCAATAATTGATAAACTCTCGTAAATAAATCTCGATGAAATTCTCGTTGATATATCAGTAGTCGTTTAGTTCGAAAATGTCTAGAGAATCTATCGTGACAAAGCCTCGACAAATGTGCTCTTTTAAGATTGATTGCTACGTATTGTTTACAAGCGATTACACACTGTGGATTCACCTTTGCGAATGTGGGATTCTGCGGCCTCGGAAATTCTCGCACAGCCAAACCCACTTTTGCAATGCCAAGCTCCATTGGTCTTGCCTCAGGACTACTCGAGCGAAGACTATAATCTATTCCACCGAATCCACCCAACTGCAACTGCATCCCTACAAAATATCGTTCGTATACGGTTAAATATAATGTAATAGGATGTTTTAACAAGTGAAATTATTAGATATAATTTCTCTTAGCATTAAAGGAGGGCCAATTTTGAAGGAGGTATTACCGGAATAAGGTGTGACACTTGTTTGTAAAGGACGAATTTGAGTCGGTTGTTGGAAAGTTTGTGCAAACTCCATCGTAGTAGGAATGTTCGTAGGTATGCCAGTTGATATGGTACCGGGTATAGCCGCAGAAATGCTGGCAGGTATGCTTCCAGGTATACTGTTGGGAATACTTGCGGAGAGACTTCCTTGTAGACTGCCTGACAAACTTTCTGGATGGTTGGAATCTTCGTAAAAGAAGGGATCATATTTCTTTAAACATGTCAAATAATAATCAATATGTGTAGAGAAAAGAAAATTCGTTAGCTATTAAAAAGAAAAGAAATGACTTTTCAAAAAAAAAGAAAAGAGAGAAAAAAAAAATAATAATAATAATTCCTTACCCAATGTTAAACGTGATGACATCATAGGATCTAAATTCAAATAAGACGTCTTCGGAATATAATTGATATTTTCCATAGGATTAGCCACAGAAGATAATGTGCTAATTGGCAAAGTTAATTTTTGCTCCGTAGGGATTGCCATTGGAACGTAATTAAAGGTCCCAGATTCTAATGGTTGAAATGGTAAACTACGTTTCCCTTCTCCTTGTAATATATAATTCAAATATGTATTTTGCAAATTATTTTTTAACATGTCTTTCGTAGAATCCACTGGCATTACATAATCAACTATCTTACTCTGAACGTTATCCTTTAAAGTTAATTTCGTTTCGGTTGGTAATATGTAATTTAACATGGCATCTTGTACGTTATTTTTTGGTTCCCTCGATATTAAATAATTTAAGAGTGAACTCGGAATGCTACTAGTCGGGCTATTTTGTATATTTATAACACTCTTTTCCAATGTATTCTTCCAAGAGTTTTGTAAGTTTAATAACGTATCTTGAACGCCACTTTGCTGGATGGCAGATAAATTGACAATATCTTGATAATTGTCACTTTTTAAATTGGTTAAAGGAAGAAACGTGTTATCCTGATTACTTGTTTTTAAAGTGGCCGGTAAATCTAATATACTTTGTTGAACGTTGCTCTTTGATAGTTCGTTTGATTGATCTTTTACGTTCTTATAAAATCCATTTTGAAAGCTGTTAGGAACGAGCGTAACAGACGACGACGAAGATGACGACGACGACGACGACGACGACGACGGCGGGCTTATCGCGGACGTTTGTTTGTCGCTTGGAATGATGGAACTAAAAATATATGGAAAAAAAAAAGAAAAAAATGTAGATACATTTAACGTCGAATTTTTATCAAGAACGATGTTTTTTTTCTTTCTTAAGTTCTTTCTTTTTTCTTTCTTTTTCTTTTTTACTAAAGCACCAACGCAAGATATAAATGATCTTCTTGGATGACAACGAGGTCACGTCGTAAGGCACCGAAGCGAACAATAAATCTTGACATTGCTATTACTTACTTTCCATCGAAAGAACCTACGGGAGATTCAGTGACCGTATCGGATGAGTTTGAAACTGTGGTCAGGGTCATCCGGATATGAGTATCATCGGATGAGTATTGCTTTGGCGTTGCTGACATCGAAGGCATCGTAGGAAGTAAAATGTTTGTCGTACCGGATGCCGCGTTACCTAACTGTATTGCAATGCAATTACACTTTTTTTTTTTATTTACACCATTTAATCATTCGCCTGAATAACAATCATTTGTTTTCATTATAATTTCATTATAATATTCTTTTTCGATTATAAATAATACGATGCATTGGATCTTCCCTTTTTTTTTCTTTGGAATAATTTAATGCATTTTCCTTTTCTCTTTTCTATAATTTTTCTTTTCTTTCTCTCTCTCTCTCTCTCTTTTCTTTTTCTTCTCTTTTTCTTCGTACCAACGAAAAAAAAAAAAAAAAAAAAAAAAACATTCTATCGAATTTATCTACTAACGATGAGAATAAAATTAAAAAGAAAATAAAATGACATGATTCCAACGAGAATTAAATTATCAAGCTGACGATGAACGTACATTATATGTCTTTGGCTTTCATCGATGTGCGTACATTAAATCGTTGGAACATTATTTAATATCGATTGTTTTATAAATACGAAAGAAAAAGAAAAGAAAAAAGAAAAGAAAAGACAAAAAAAAAATAGAAAATAAATGGATAGACTTGGAAAATAGTAACGGAATAATTTTTAATTCGATTTTGCAAAAAAAAAATTCATACGTGAGAGCAAATAAACGATCGCGAATCGAATTGAACGAATTCACTTACCGTGTTCAACTCAACGTTTGGTCTCGACGTAGTTGTAATCATCGTAACCGACTTCTCTACGATTTTCGGCTCTGTGGTTGAGGAGGAGTGAAGTTCGGGAATAGTTTGCGTAGTGGCGGAGACAGTATCTTCCGCTAATGGCTTGTGGGTAGCAGTCAGTGTCGTTGACAATGTCGTAGATGTTTCCGTGTCCAATGGTAAAGTATTTTCATCGAAACCGTCGGGTACCGATGCGAAACCAAGACCATGATTTCCTTTTAAACGAAACGAAAAACTTCGTTATCGCTTCGTTGGATAAAATGACGGAAGGAAGGAAGGAAGGAAGAAAAACAAAAAGAAAAAAAAAAAAGAAAAAAAAATAGCAAACATACTTCACGTTCAAAGTAATCTACGTTTTCCAAAATTAATTCGTTTTGAAAAAAAAAAAAAAAAGAAAAATATAATTGTCGATTTTGCCATGACGCGCATGTAAACTTTCGATGTACGGGAAACATTATTAGAGAAAATAATTGAAAGACTTAAAATACTCGAATAAAATTAAAAGTATCTCTCTTACGTTAAACTCTCAAACGAAAGCTAACATGTAACTTCGAAATTAGAACTTTGAAATCTCTAAATATAGAAGTTAAATTCTAACTGGCCGTAACTATAAAATGGTTTCTTACGGTTAACTAAGAACTAACCGTATTTCAAGTAATTGGAAGGCTCGTCGAAGGGCAAACGTTGCCGAGTTTCTTTCTCGAGTTCTTCGTACGTGTCTATCGTCTTCCCGTAAGGTCCCGAACGATAGGACGTGGTCCATGTAGGTGAATGTCGAAGCTCGTTCGGGAAGTAATTACGAGTTGATTGTAGATAGGACGGCGATCGATTCTTGAAATATTCATTATGAAAGGCATATTCATTTCCAAAGGAAGCACGGGTGATCTGAGAGGAACTTGGATGACCAAAGAATGACGATGACGACGATGATGATAATGATGATGATTGTGAATTTTGGAAAGGTGATTCTCGATAATTTGGAAAATTTTTTAAGCTCGAATAATTTCTAAACGGTGAATGTTCTCGATAGGATGTAGGTTGACGATAGGTACGGATCGATTGGCCAAATGGTTGTTCTCGAAAGGGTCTATGCTGTTCGTGATAGGGTGGATACTGACGAGGTCCTTGATACCCGGGGAAGTTTCTCTCGTAGATGGATCTTCCGTTTTTAAACGCATCGACGAACGCCACCATGCTTGCTACGATGAACATCTGAGAGATAAAGATAGAAGATCAAGGAAAAAACCATAGGTAACACTCACAACAGTTCTTATTAACCAACGATCACCACTCACCAAACTTTTCTTGTAACCCTTCATTGAGAACTTTGTTTTTTTCTCTCCTTCTTTTTTCTTCTCTTTCCTTCTAATATTCTTTTTTTGGTCTTTCTTTGTCCTTCTTTTTTTTTTCTTTCTTTCTTTCTTTTTGTTATTCTTTCCTTATCTTATATCAATCAATACAAACGATAATCTAAGAGTTACGATCACCGGATGAAAACTGTCAGTGATCGAAAGAATCGACTTTCTTATATATCCGCTCGAGAAGAGAGCAAATAATACTTCTACGCTTCCAAGCTTCTTCTAAATCCAGTTTCCAACTTGATCTATAATGTCTTAGACGCGTCTTGCTCCTTTCTCCTTTCTTTCTTTCTT